CAAGTGTCATTTTTCCAAACACACAATGAATCTTTCCAAAAGTTTAGAAAATAAACGCCCTCTGCTGTTGTAAATAGAGAAAACTCACCATCTTAAGGTAAAATTGGTGTGCAACTGCTACCCCCTAGTGGCTAATTTGGGAGACTTAACAATTTTAGCTTTTGAGTGTAAAGCTTCATGTGTTTAGAAAAAGTATGAATAATTTTTTTATCTTGAAATATTTTTAATCCATTACTACTCCTGGTATCCAACAAATCTCAAAATTTCACAAAAGTGAAGAAATAGCTCTTTTCTGTCTTTCATTTTCAACTCAAGCTTTGGAAACTTAATGATTAATTAATTAATTTATTTATTTACTTTACTTGTATACCGCAGTTTCTCAGCCCAACAGGCGACTCAACGCGATCTTGCCATGATACGCTCATGAATACAAACCAAATTCGGACATGCAGAATGTGGTTTCCTACAGTAAATAGGATTGTCTGGGTTTTTCTTTTACCAACTGACAGATTTTTAGCACCTACTTTCCCATCACAATATCTAGATTTCCATGTACCATCATTGTGCTTTCCCCTCCAACTGTATCTATACAGAAAGAATGGTTGTTGTTTTTTTGTGCAACTAGAAGTTATTATGCCTGTTTTATAATATTAAAGTTCAGCTACACTTTTCTGGAGTAATCACCAAGCAAAGTGATTACTTTGCTTACATCTGAAGCATGTGGAAATGCTGCATTTTGCCACAATTTCCTAATATGTAATTAAAATGTTTTGCACCAACAAGTACCAGTCAGTTTTTTACCTTACTATTGTACCACAAAAATATCTTAACACCTTCATAATGCTATTGTGCATGTGCTTCAAGTTGTAATAATGGGTTTCCTTACACCCATATAAGACATGAATTATCTGCCAATCTGTCACTTATCTAGTCATTCTGGAGCTGTACTACAAGATACCAGTTTTGGCCTCTCTTCAGTCAAAGTAGGATTTCTAGTCAATTCAGTCAATACTTCTATTCTCAGAAATTCTCTTGTTGCTAGGCCTAAATTACTAATCTTTCTCCTTCATCCTGCATCACAGGATATACTGGCTAAAACTGAAGCATGCTGCACCCCAGCATCAGAAAAACAACACATTCCACCCCCTTCCTTACTTCATTCCACGGGATTTTTTTCTCCTCATACATATTTTGTTCTTCAAACTCTAAAGCTACAAGGATCTGAAAAGCTCCAGGTGTATTTTTGGAAAGGGACTGAATTCCTTTGATGACATTGGCCGAGTAATCTTTCCTGTTCCCCTCCCATTTCTAATGAAAAACTCCAAAATGCTGACATGGCTCTGTGCCTGGAGGAAACCACAGTTCTCTCTTTCAGTTTGTAATAGGTCAGCACTCTGCAGAGATTTCCTGGGGATTTGGAATTGGAATTGAACTTCATTCCTTAGTCCTTTCGAAATAAATAGCAGGTGCATACCTCTCCCCAATCCTTGCACTTTCGGTACAACTGCACAGTTTACAGAAGAGTCAGAAATAGCAGAAAGCGACACTGTAGAAAATCTTAGTGTTACTTAATTCGTGAGCAAAGAAAGGGCTGTGATGACAGTACCAAGAAACACAGAGAAACTGAAGCAGGTGCAGGATGCTATGAAAATATGACAAATAACGGGTTGGGGAGTCCATTACCCTCCAGATGATGAACTACAAGAGCCATTGTGGTGTAACTTGTTGGGAGGGGAACTTGTGTAATCCAAAGTATTGAAATTCAGTGGATGATCGGGGACATTTCCATCTTTCTCAACTCCGTTCATACAATAGAGGCATTGAACTAAGTATAATTTAAAGTTGAGAGGTCTATTTTATCTTTATTCTAGCTGATAGGAAGGTGATTCAACACTTTGGCTATTAAAATGTATCCCTTTCTTACCTGTTGCAAGATGGGCAAAAGGTGAACTTTGTGACAATGAAGTTCTTTTTAACCATGTCATAACCATTCAACTACTTTACTTTGGTGTACAATACAGATGATTTGTTCAGGTATAAATATAAATGCATGGACAGGCTCTGTAATAGGCACATTAACTCCCATTTATACAGTAACATCCAAAAAATTTCAACTATCAAGGTCAAAGTCCTGCCCACTTACCTAGTTCCCCTCATTCTTCAAGTAAAAATGTATAGGACCAAGGTTCATGAAAAACTGCAATCTTTGTTTGAGCCTTAACCATGTTTGAACATACAACTCAATCCAGGCTTTGATGTTTCAGAATACAATGATTTTATTTTTTTACATGTTATCAAGTATTTGGGACTAAATCTGAAATGCTACAGACAGCTGTCAAACACAGCATACATTGCTTTACAGACATGATTTGTGGCAATTTTGGTGCAGCTAGAAAGAGAAAGCCTAAGTCAAAATACACCCTTCAAGAATTTAATTAATTCAATCTCGGTGACTAAAAATGGCATAAATGTCTGCCAGATATAACATTTCAACGTGCCAGAAAGTTATTTAATGCAGGCACGTAGCATATAAAGGAAGAATGCTTTCAACTTCTAGAAAATCAAGTTTTCTTACAGGATCAGCAAGAAGTTTTAATTAAAAAACAATCTGAAATAGAAAGCTGATCTATGAACATAACATTTGAGTGAATTTTCAGGCTTCAGTGTGGGGTATCCATCTTACCGTCCTGCACAGAAGCAGCAGCATTGCTAGGAACATGTATTTGAAATTATTTCAAAGGGAGCACATTATAGAAATAGCTTGGTCCATGGTTATTCCTTTTCATCGCCAAAGACAAAGGGATTGAAAGATTTAATCCATTTATTATTTTTTATCCATGTGATGCTTCTAAAACACTCCCATTTGCTATTTTAGACTTTTAGCCTATACATTTTACATTAATTATCTGCTTTATACCTTGATGAGGACATTTTTATTCCTGCAAAGTCAAATACAATACAAAGAAACCCATCACAATATACAAGAGAAAACTACATCTCTTCATAGTTGAAAATGTCAGAAGAAAACTCTTTGGAGAACTTCAATAAGCAATGAATATTAAAGAAAAATCAAAAGATTTCAGTGTCCATTTACAATAATATGTGTGTGTTCATATTTAAATCAAGGCCAACTAATATTCTGCTGTGAACATTCTTTCAAGAACACCAACTACAGGTGTTACGTTAATGACTGAATGAAGCCCCTTCAAGTTTTGGCAGTGAAGCAAATAGGAAAGACATGACACAAAGCAATTATTATTCAACAGAGCATCCAACATGTATAGTGATGAACCTTCCACTGATACTTTTGCAATGCAACACCATAGTGATTACTTTCAGACCAGAAATAAATCTTATAAATACTCAAAACGCATACAAATTCCCATCCCACAGATAACATAGGCAAGAGTGGATTCAAAAAAATGCTCTGAATCTACAGAAACGGTTTCTATTAAATAGCTCTTAAAGCTAAGTGCTAATTAGAAGGGCATCTTGGAAGAGTCAAAAGCAGAGGTGTTGTGCTTCAGCATTTGCCTGCAGCATCTGGCAGTGAGCAGCACAAGGAGGCAGAGCGATCATTGGGTCTCCTCTTCCGTCTGCTTTGCAGGAGCTTCTGTGGAACTGGCGTTGGCAGCAGAGTTTAAGACGTCTCCAAAGTCACCCCCAGCAGGCTTGTTTCCTCCAACCTTATACTAAAAAGAAGTGTAGAAATGTCAGGTTACCCTCTCGGAAAATTAAAAAGGCAAATATATTTGCTGGGGTTACAGGTGCAGGACCTCTGCAAAAGTGAGGAAAGAGTAAATAAAAATATTTTCTAAAATAAAGATCTCAGATCAGCACGCAGTATCAGTATCATCATCATCATCATCATCATCTTTATTCTTGGGTTGTTGTAGATTTTTTTCGGCTATATGGCCATGTTCTAGAGGCATACTCTCCTGACGTATCTTTATCCTTATCGTTATCCCACCTTTCTCTCAAGGCAACTAACAATGACATGACACAATACAATAAAACAGTAGTTCCCAACTTTTTGGACTTCAGCTTCCAGAAATCCCAGCCAGTTTACCAGTGTTAGGACTTGTGGGAACTGAATTCCAAAAACACCCAAAGGACCAGAGGTTAAGAACCAGTGCAATGAAAGTTAGAAACAAGGCAGATCCCTATACATATGAAAATAAAAATGTTAAAAATCAATTAAATATTTTTGGCATAAGTGTTAAACTTAAAATGCAATAAAATACAATTCAAATTACACTTATTGTAAAATTACAATAAAATAAACTTGTTGATTAAAAAAACAATAATAATAATTGAAGCATACGACAAACATACGAAACAATTTTAAGGAATAAAAGAAAACAATGTAAAAACATTGGGTTGTTGTGAGTTTTCCGGACTGTATGGCCATGTTCCAGAAGTATTATCTCCTGACGTTTCACCCACATCTATGGCAGGCATCCTTAGAGGTTACGAGGTCTGAGGATGCCTGCCATAGATGTGGGTGAAATGTCAGGAGAGAATGCCTCTGGAACATGGACATACAGCCCAGAAAACTCACAGCAACCCAGTGATCCTGGCCATGAAAGCCTTCAACAGCACAATTTAAAAACAGTTTACCATTCCTACTGTTTAACTGTGTCTGCAACAGAAAGAGCAAAGGTGAGCACTTGGGCAAGAGAAAATCAAGGGAAGCAGCACACATTTCACAAATACATAGATATTCTGTATGAAGCAATTCAAACAGTACTTAAGCAGCACACCTCTTCAGAAACTAGAATAAACACACTATCATATTATTACTGCCTTCCCCTAGGTGCTTCTATTGCACCAATTTCATCTGAATTTCCCTAAGAACTGTTTTCACACAGCATTTGTTTCACTTTGTTGTATACACATCTGATATCATCAATGTACGCTATAATAATTAAAGTGTTCAGAAAATTTCAGCTAATGTACTTGGGGTTTTTTAATAAATAAATTTTGTAGAGAAGATTTACCTTTAAGTTTTCAACTTTCTCTTCAAAAGACTTGAATGTTGGTGAATTTCTAAAGGGGAAAGAGACAACAGTTTTCATGCTAGAAATCTGTATATGATGTCAGGACAATTAAAGAAAGAAAAATGCAGCAGGCAAAAGTAGTTGTAAAAATACAATCTGTGATCCTACACAGCTTTAGCACCCTGTCTTGAATATCCTAATTATACATAGTACTATTGGCTGGTATTCAGTGGTATAAACTCACCAGTGCAAAGCTTTTGCTGTTTTTCATTTTTGCACAAGTATCAAATCAAGATTCATCTTGTGCAAGCGATTTACAGCTCACTATGACTTCACTAGTTCAGGGGTAACAATAATGACATGTTCTGCAGTGGAATATCACCACCTCCTGTATGTTTTCGGTTACCCAATAATTGGCTACAACCCATTGTACTAATAGTAATGCCCAAAGATTCTGCCATTGGACAAACATTCCCTCCCCATTGTTAACAGAAGACCATTGCAATAGCACCTTCAGGGCATATGCAAGGAGTCCCCAACTTACAAATGACTCATAGTTAAGAATGGTGGTGAGACAACAGAAAGTGAGAGAAATCTGCCCCAAGAGAGAAATTTACTCCTAGAAGAGTTATCATTCAGAAAGGGTGTCTCTGCTGAAGATTTATCCCCAATCCTTGTTTCCACAACAAGCTAATTGTTTCAAAATCTAATTCTCATAGGGACAGAAAGTGAGGTGAAATCTTCTCAACTGGGACAGAGACAGCAAAACAAACACCACAGGAGTGTTAACCTTTCCTTATGTTATCCAAAGCTAAAACATATATACATTTGGATGGAGATACACTTAAAAATTGTACCTGTTCCGACTTACAAATAAATTTAACTTAAGAACAAACCTACAGAACATATCTTGTTCATAACTTGGGGACTGCATGTATTTGTTTGAAACACACAAGCCAATCGGCTCTAAACCTGCTGTAACTGCACCAATCAAAATTATCCATTTCTTTTTTTAAAATTTTGGATAATTTTGGTGTACTAGTAAACTGTACATACATTACCTCATAGCAGGCATACTAATTGAATGCTGTAGACAACGTATACTTAAATGGCAGCATTAAAAGAAAGGAGAATCAGATTACAAAACAGTGAAAAGTATGTTTCTGCCAAGCATATATCGACACACCAGAACACTTTCTACATCAAAATATCAGAACACTTTTCAATTGCATGCAAGGACAGCATGTATATATTTATCACAATGCAGCTAAAAGGAAAACGATACAGCAGTACATCAGAGTTGTTTTAAGAACCATACTCTGCAGTTTGTGCTCAGAAGTAACTGATCAAATTTAATCCAATGTGACACAGGTTATACATTATTTAGCTCATGACCAACATTTACACATTTCTGCTTCAGAAAGGGTAGACAAAGTGTGGTCCTCCAAATGTTGATCTACAACTCCCAGGAGCACTAGCCAGAACAATCTCCAGTGAGGTAGAACATTGGGAGTTATAGTCCAACAATATCTAGACAGCTGATTGGACCCACTCCATCCTTAAGTAATACAGGAAGCAACGTGGTCAGTTACAAGATTCTTTATGTTACAAATGAAAAATTTCTTGCTGAAAAAAATGATATTGGGGGGGGGGGGGTATTGACATTTTTAGAAAAATTGAAAAACGTGTTTTCAGCATTCCCTATAGATCAGGGCTTCTTAAACATTTTCATTCATTATCCCTTTTCATTCAAGAAATGATTACGTGACCCTGGGTGTATAGGTATATAAAAAAAGTACAAAAATCAAACCTTTACTGATAACAAACCAGCATTCACAAGGCTTAACAGGCTGATTTTCCTTTTTATGAAGTACAATTGAAGCATCTTCTGCAAAATCCAGTGTAAAAACTGCAGAATAGATTCATGTGAATGTCTTATACAGCCTAAAATTTTACTGTTGTCATTTTTTCATGATTCCAGCATACATTGTTGGAATCCACTGTTTAAGAAGCAGTGATCTACATTTAAGGTAACTTTTATCTTTATTTTTATCCAACCTTTAGGAACACATAACACAATATGTATAATTTCGTTCTGATATAAAATTATCGTTCTGGTATGTTAAAAGTACAACTTAGTCGGACTATAATGAAAAAACGAATTTCCTTTTTAGAACATTTAGTTTTTGTTTGAAAAGCAAACTCTTTGGTTTTGTCAATGTATTAAGATCAGGAAGAAAACAATGAAAATAGAATAAAGCATGCACATTTGGAAAAGAGAGAAAATATTTTTGAATCCTCCAGTTCTCCATAATGTCAAGTAGATATAAAGTACTCATTCCCATAATAAGAACTATGAAAAGGAAACCTAGATCCTAAATTGTACTGATCTCATACTATACATAGTTTCACATAAATGTCTTTCTTTTATATAGTTTTAGAAATAATTCTGGGAGAATAAATATATGAATAGCTCATTTTACATGTTTCACTCATCATAAAAATATTCCCCTTTTTTCTGGAAAAAGGAGAAGTGGGGTTGGGAAGAAAAACTTTATCTCCTAAACTAGTGGTTCTCAACCTGTGGGTCCCCAGGTGTTTTGGCCTACAATTCCCAGAAATCCCAGTCAGTTTGCCAGCTGTTAGGATTTCTGGGAGTTGAAGGCCAAAACATCTGGGGACACACAAGTTGAGAACCACTGTCCTAAACCTTCCAGGATGTTTTTCACCAGCCTTGTGCTCCTCTTCTTTTAGATCAACACACTGCAATCTTTCTGATCATCTTCTGAAGTGCCCATTTGCTAAGTATAAAATGGAACGGGGAGATTGTCCTCAGGAGAACCAGATGTGCACAGGCAAGCTCTACATTAGAATTGCACAGATTTCTAAAATACTAATGCTTCTTTCTCAACAACACACAGTATCAAATGCAAGCTCTATGATCTGTTAATGGGCTGAGGATTTTATGTGCCATTAGATGCTGCTCAGATCTGATTTAGATTCAGTGTTGCTTTTAAGGAAACATATTATTCCAGCTATGGCCAGCAAACTTACTTTTCTTAAGCTAGCTGCTCACCTTACATAATAGCTGTCATCTGTTATAAAGCTTTCTACCTCAAAAAAAAGTGTTTTCACAACCTCAAATAGTCTTTTTTTTTTTCAAAACATATTCCTACAAGTAGTTCAGCCAATTCAGTTCAGCGTTTGCAAACCATCACACTTTCCGAGTCTGGTTTTTATGATGCTAGTGCCTGTGTTTTGATATCCAAATATTTTTAATCCTTCCTTTGAATGTTGGATATGGAGAGCCAGATGTCCACTTCAATCTCCTGGTTGTGCCTCCACTGAAATCTTCAAAACACAATACAAGCATCTAGATATCTCTCTCCTTCTACAGCAATGTTTCTCAACCTGTGGGTCCCCAAATGTTTTAGCCTTCAACTCCCAGAAATCCTAACAGCTGGTAAACTGGCTGGGATTTCTGGGAGTTGTAGGCCAAAACACCTGGGAACCCACAGGTTGAGCACCACTCTTCTACATGCATGAACAAGCACACAATAAGACTCTTGTAACCGAAGAACCAATATACAAAATTTTAGTCACCTGCACCTGCAGGAGAAATGTCTCACTAAGAATTTATCATATCCTCCAGGCAACTCTGTGGTATGTTTCCTCTGAAGTTATCATAGTAACTTTGGAGGACCTAGTAAATTCATAGAGCAGATATCTCTTAGAAATTTGAACTTCTTCCAACACAACTCTAGGTAGGATAAGGACTGGAAGGAATGTAATTTAATGACATTCAGTTGGATCCATGGCTATACATAACCACGATCCAGCTGAGAACATATCTCCCATGGATACGGGTCTTTCTATATATGAGGCAAGGACTTGTAACCCAATCTTGGGGATTCCCCAACATCCCAGAAAACCTCACTAACAAGAACAATCATCCCAGCAGTTTGGGAGGTCCTTAATTCTACTACTAGTCCAATCATCTGTTTCAAAAGCCACTTGAGAAACATCTGAGAAAGGAGCCAATTTTCACAGAAGACAAGTGTATTTTCTTCACTTCTATAGTCTAGGGCAGGCCTGCACAACTTGGTAGCTGTCAAGGGACAATACTTTAAAAGAAAATTCTGTGGGCTCCTCCTTCTCCTTTCCATGTCTTAACAAGATTGACTATTACTCATCATGGCATGAAGGGGATGGGCTCCCACTTCCCTTGCCTACTTTCCATGGGCTGAAGGCCATATCCGGTACACAGGCTGTATGTTCTGCCAGCCCTGGTCTAGGAATTTATGCCGCTAATTTTTTTTATTTCAGGCAGTGTCTCTGTGAGCATTAAGGAGAAGCAAAATACTATCATTATATGGATTACTATTCCTAGTTCTACACAAAAAGTATTCTCTACTGCCTGGTTACAATATTCAAGTAAAGATGCTCTTCTGGGAGACAATTCAGACCAGACCCTGAGGCAGAAAGAAGTGCTGCTTTGTGAGGCATTACTAGAGAAAACAATGCACCAAGAAAGAGGTGCCATGTGCATTTTTTGCCTCAGGCACCTAAGTGTCTTTAAATGCAGTGAATCAGAGCATGAACGCCGTTTTCAAGTCACATCAAGATGATGCAAACTTTGCTACTATCACTGCTAGTCCAGACAGTAGCCTGGAATCTAAATCAGTGTAAATGACATTTTGCCCTCCATAGCGTTATTAGTAGAAAATCACCAGAGTACCTTGGACATCCTTCCTCAACTACAATTCTGCAATGACATCTTACAGGGTAGACATAATTTTCACACTCATTTCATTTATCAATGCTCAGAAACTAATAGCCAGAGTTAATGGTACTGAATCAAAATAAGTTCCCGTTTAATAAAACCAAAGGGTAAACCCCAGCAATAATCCCAGATGGTCTTGCATCACCAATGAGGTTAACTATGTTAGACAGGGCTGTGTTAAAAGTCCAGTACACCGTAAAGAGGGGGGGAAAATTAGAAACATACTTCACATCTTCTAATTTCTTTGTTATTACAGAGCCAACCGTTGAGAAAGCAGCAGAAGCTTTCTGCCCAGCCTGAGACAATGTTTCTGTTGTCTTCTTATACCTAGATTAAAAACAAAAACAGTTTCTTTTACTATTATTATTTACACCACACAATTGTTATGGAAAACTTATTATCAAGTAACCATATTTCTGTAATTGATTTATACAGAAAGTTCTTGAAAATGCAAAAGGTGGGTTATAGTTATAGGTTTGTGTGTTTGTGTGTGTGTGTGTGTGTGTGTGTGTGTCAGGTGCAACTTAAGAAACTGCAACTTGAGAAACTGATGTGAGAGAATTGGCCGTATGCAAGGACATTGCCCAGGGACACCCGGATGTTTTGATGTTTTACCATCCTTGTAGGAGGCTTCTCTCATATCCCCACATGGGGAAATTGAGCTGACAAAGGGAGCTCATCCAGGCTCTCCCCGGATTAAAACCGGCAACCTTCAGTTCAGCAGCCAAACCTTCAGGTCAGCAGTCCTACAGGCACAAGGGTTTAACCCATTGCGTCACCAGGGGCGCAATGGGCTATGTTGTCAAAATATGATGTGTCACATAATTTTTAAAAGTATAATGTTGCATTAGGCCAGTTTTTTTCCCAATTTACTGATTTCCAGGATTTTTGCTGGAGTCTAACTTCAACCCCAGCCAAGTCAGCCCAGAGTGAAAAAAAAGATTGGCTTTGTAGTCCCAGGCACCTGGAGTACACTACACGTTGAAGAAGCAATGCATTAGACACTCCCAGATGTTGTCAATTCCCAGACAGAGTAAGCTGCCTGTATCTGAGAGAATGGCAGGTCCAACCCACCATGGGCTTTGACTATTCGTACCTTCAAAACTGTAAACATCAGTTAACACAAGCAACAGAACAACGTAGCAAATGTTTTCTAGATGTACTGCTCTACTTAGCCTATATGGGGAAAGGATGACATGTTTTAATACTCTTCCACCATGGAGAAGCTATCCACTTATAAAAAGAGAAAAACCACTTGCAGAAAAGTGGTCCCATTGAAACAGCCGTTCCCTATAAAAGCAGGCTTCCTTATGTACTAAGGAAGGTCAGTTCATTGAAAATCAGGGGAAGGGGAAGTATGGCTCATGGGTGAAATGTGCCTTCACCCAAGCTGTTTATCTGCCCCAATCCCAGCCCCATAGCAGGCGCCAGTCACTAACTGTTGCTCACTTTGCTGCAGACGCAAACACACATGTGATTTGGGATAACAATAAAAGAAAAACCTACGCATTTGTTGATGTGACATCTTGCCACCCTTTGGAAAGATTCTGCCTCAACTCCTGCAATGAACTGATTCCCAGTTTCCTCTTAATTTCAGCTAGATGTTTTTCTTTAGCAGCTAACACCTGTGACAAAGTTTGGATTTCTTCTTCTACCTAAAAGATAGAACACACAAAAAAGCAATTAATATATTGTGTTGTCAAAGGCTTCCATGGCCGGAATCACTGTTGCTGTGAGTTTTCTGGGCTGTATGGCTATGTTCCAGAAGCATTATCTTCTGACGTTTCACACACATCTATGGCAGGCATCCTCAGAGGTTGAGGGGTCTGCTGGAAACTAGGCAAGTGGAATTTATATGTCTGTGGAATGTCCAGGGTGGAAGAAAGAATTCTTGACTGCTTGATGCAAGTGTGAATGTTGCAATTGGCCTTGATAATATTATATTGACACTGTGATCCTATACCAACAAATGGCTGGTGTAAGAGTCTGTTGCACAAGTGGCTTGATATTCTTCACACTTACAAATTATCATGTGGTATCAAAGCAGCACAGGCTCGGCTGGCGGGGACGAGAGATAGGGCCTTCTCGGTGGTGGCTCCTCGGCTGTGGAACGCCCTTCCTACGGACATTAGACTAGCACCATCTCTAATGGTATTCCACAAAAAGGTGAAGACCTGGATGTTTGTGCAGGCGTTTGAGTAATTTAGTGCAATCTGGTAATGGAACATAGGAATGGAACAATGGACGACGAACCTGGACTATGCTTGGATGATGAAAAGATTGGGTACGGTTGTTTTTTGTAATAATTGTGCATTGTAATTGCTTATTGGTAATTTATGGATAATGTGTTAAATCAATTGTTATATGTTGCATGGAACCACTGCTGTTTCTACTGTTTTTACTGTTTGTGAACCGCTGTGAGTCGCCTTCGGGCTTGAGATACAGCGGTATATAAGCAAAGTAAATAAATAAATAAATAAATAAATAAATATTTCAGGCCCTTTGAGAGTATCTTGACTCCAAACACACTGTTTGCTTCTCAAAGACTGCTATTCCTAATGCAGCTAATTTTTTTTCCGTGCCACTACCATCTCCTCCATTCACTGCATAACTACATTATAGAGAAATAGAGTCTTGGCTATGAAACCAGTTATTCCCCCATGCACCCTCAAATACAGCAATTCTTTTGACTTGAAGAGAAGGCTTGTAGTGGAAACCATATTTGGGGTATTGTGGAGACAGCTTACTGTTTGGCTAGATATAAACAGGACAAGACAACATCTACTTATGATGTGGGGCCACAATACAGAGACCCTCTGATACACACAGAAAACATGCCCATTTCAAACTGTAGCCTACCTTAGTAAGCTCTCTTCTTAGCTCTTCCTGTTCTTCTTCCGATAAGGCTTCTGGAACATTCACTGTAGCCGCAGCATCTTCTCCAACTTCTGGAATAGCTTCATTCTTCAGCAAGCCTTTGAAAAACAATTTGAATTTGCAATTGGGATTGAATTATTTAAGACAATACCGTAAGGTTTATTATTATTCTTAAATTAATAAAACGTTAGACTGCTAGGTTCCCTGAAGCAATGTAGAATGGATAAAATATTTTAAAAGCAATGTAGAATGGATTAAATATTTTAAAAATACAATACATACAGAAAAAAACATTTTAAATAAACTGAAAACATTTATTAAAATATCCTAAAACCTGGAAGAAAAAACAGTCAGAAAAAATTCAGGAACCAAAAACTATGTGGAACAGCACCTACATTTCCACCTGCTGGAAGCTCAAAAGAGATGCAGTCGGCCTTTTCTTCCAGGGTGCTGCAACTGAAAGAGCCCTATCAGATTTACACATCAACCCAGCTTTACAGGATGTTGGGACACACAACAAAACTTCTGATAAGGATCTCCAATTGTAGGCACATTCATATAGGAGGAAGTGGTTTTTCCTCCTATAAGATACTTAGGACTTTCTAAGTCAAAACCAGCACTTTGAATTGAGTTCAATAGCAAACCGGAACCCAGTAAAAGTTCTTTTAAGATTTAAACTACAGGGGTTTTAACACAGTAGGGCAGACTACTTGTATGACAATAGGACTCTAGAATTTTTGCTAGGGTTGGGCAATCCAGTTTAGAGCATTTGTTATTGCATACATGATCAACTCCAGCACTTTACAAGAGTAAAACACACTTTGAGACTTTACAATTATATGTTTTAAAAACTACAGATGCATAAGAGGTTCCACTAGCTCAGTGGTTCTCAACCTGTGGATCCCCAGGTGGTTTGGCCTACAACTCCCAGAAATCCCAGCCAGTTTACCAGTTTTTAGGATTTCAGAGAGTTGAAGTCCAAAACATCTGGGGACCCACAGGTTGGGAACCACTGCACTAGCTCACATGATTTGCAATGTTTTAGGTACCAGAAGCCTTCCACAAAAAGGCTTCAAATATGGCAGGGTTCAAATATGGTTCGTTTCTATACCCAAACATGTTTGAATCCTGCCACTGATTCACTTAAAACCAATGTCAGTATATGACATCCACAGATACTTCAAAGCTCTCCTAGCTGGTCTGCAGAATATCACAGCAATGATAATTGATTTATAATCCTGGAACCCACTTAAGCATCCTTAGAAAAGAAGAAAATCTTGTCTTCATCCAGTACCTAGTAAAAATCATCTATAAAGTTACCACAGCAATAATAGGCACATTGCCCAGTAGAAAAGTCAAACTGAAAACTGATAATTAGCAACAGTATGTCTGGAATTGCAATACCTTCTTGTGATTGAAATATTGCATTTACATTTGCATGCCATTTTCTTTAACATATTTTATGCATATTTCTTTTCTTCAAATGTTTAGATTTTGTACACAATCTGAACCTAGAACTATGTCCAAACATTCAGAGAAACAGAGGATATGAATGACGATGCTCTGGACCGCACATGTTCCAAGTTGGGCAGATCAATTTACTTACATTTACTTAAAATGTGTATCAAATAAAGTTATCCAATATTCCTATTTCTATACTGTGTAGAAACCACAATTCACAGTATCTTGTTGCGATCATTAAAACAATCCATGTAAAGGGAAATTATTACTCCCATGTTGCAGACTGGAAGGTAGACATGATGAAAGGAAAAGCAGAGGGATACCCAAGGTTAGCTACTCAGCTCATGGCAAAAGTGAAAGTCAAAACCTGAAGCAAAAGGTTCACAGCTAAAGCTTAGCTGCTACTTAATGCTACAGTTTAAATATGTTGGCTACCAGGATTCCAAAACAAAAGCAGGTTAGACTGAACTGTCCATGAACTCTTGGAAATAGTATTTTATTCTAAGATATTAACATCAGAAATTATAAACAAATTTGAGCAAGTCCTGAATTATGATCCAGTAGAACTATATACACTACATGGTTATGAATGGCCAAGGATTTTAATTCACGTTTTCTGAATAAGTCTCTTGACACCTCTTATCATATTTCCTGTCTTTTAATTTTAAGAATTTAAAAAAGCTTGTGCATTCAGAACACTATATATACTGGTAAAAACCTACTACATCAAACAAACTAGGGGCTGTAATGTTATCACTGTCATATATTCCAGTTTCTCAGGTGGCTCCTGACATGACAAAACAAACAAACAAACAAAAAACTGTCATATATGAGTACTGGCAGTACTGAAAGTTACAACATACAATATGTTGGGGGCAGGGACCATCAACCACATGTTTTAATTCTGGAGGGATACAACCCTTCCAACAAGGCCATATTTTCAGCAGGAAAGCTCCATAATCTAACCATGCATGAAAAACGAGAAAACCCCTGGATCTACCTACTCAATATGGCCTGAATTTAGAAGACAATATCACCTGCCTTTGATTTTCATGATTTAGATCCTGTAAATTCTATAAAAGTCAGCAAATATTGAAACCCTCTCATCCCAATTGATATCAACAAGGTGGACAGCAAAGCATCTGGTGCTTTGTTATATATCCACCTGTGTTCATTTTATTACATAGTTTTCAACTTTGTGGTAGGCAACCTTCTGGCTTCCAAATGCTATTTAAAATCAGTGTTATGCACTTGCTATATGTGTGCGCACTCATGCATTCAATAAAACAACTGAATGGCACTGTTTCCAAGAGCATGTGTACAGACGTTCTGTAACAAATCAAAAGAGATATAATTATTTATGCATTTAACTATAATAAAATACATAAGTTTCAGTTACTTCTTTGGAGACAATTGTTGTTCTATTTCCTCTTCAATTATATCTTCAGTGCAAAATATGTCATATCCTTTAAGTGCCCCCATTTTGACTGCTTCAGTTCCTGCGCAAATTGCTTCACATCTGAAGCTAGTTTTCATATATCAGTGTGAACCATAACCTACCCTTACATGATTACTTTTCTTTAAAAAGTGTACATATAAAAACATATTATAAACTAGTTTCCAAAAAGCAAACAATAGACATGGAAACAAATTAAGAGCATTACCAGAATTCTTCAGTACTGGAGAATCAGGTGGAGAGAAAGTCATGCTGGGGAACAGGTACAGATAGCTCCTATTGACTCCAGAATCAAAATTAAATGGAGATTTGTAATCCTCATATAGGTCCGTATCTAGCCAGTCTGCCACAGAAATCTCAGAATGCATGACCACTCATAGCTGTCCTGCAGCCAGTGAAGCACTCATCCTTTGCACAGCACATTTAACTTGCTAAATGCAATCCATCAGTTTTAAAATGCTAGGCACTCACATTGTGCCATTATTTCCACTCAAGAATACCAGAGGTCTGAGGGTAAGGATTTCGAGATACCAATTTAATAAAATGCCTGCTGAGATACTCATTCACTGCAGTCGTTCATGAAATGCATGGTCAGGTTCATGTCTTCTCCATATAACGAGAGATCTCTGCATCACAAGGCATGTGTAACACACTGAATGCCAAGCATCTAAGAAAGCGTCAACATTTGCAGGATTATACCAAGAGTTCCCCGTCATTTTTTAAAGTGTCAGCTGACAGCAGTTGCATCAGGATATCCTTAATCTTCTAGGACACAAAAGGATTACTAGCCGTAATCTATCCTATAAGCCATCTGTGTAGGACTTTATGCCTGATTAATGGAATAGATTTTTCCTCTCCAAAATGTAGTTTTCCATCTCTGTCTCTCGGCACAGTTATAACTGTTTCACACAAAGTGGAAGCAAGTGTTTATTGCTGCATATTATCAGGAAAGTGCTGTAACAGTTTCCCCAGTGTCTGTATAAAAACATGGGAGAACGTTTGGGTCGCTTCTTAAAACGTGTGCAATTTTGCTTGGTCAGACTACAACAATCTCTTTTCTTTTCCTATTCACACCATTGTGGATTCCACAACTTTGTGTGAGACAAAACCCTAACCTCTAATTACATGAAGCTGCTTACACGTGTGCTTTATTAACCTCATCCAGTTCTGATACAGTGAGCACTAGAGAGCATGTGGCTCCCTATTAGTCAGGGAAGTAGAACAGAAGTAAACATGAAGGAATTACAGTTTGTTCCATTAATAGGTCAGTAAGAAGGAAACAGGAAGAAGGAAATAAGCATCAATGCTTAGAGAAGAAACTAAGCATGTGGCCCTGTCTCCACACTTAACAGACAGTAGAAAGGAAAGGGTCAGGAAACATGTGAGTACGGCATGGCAGGCAGACATTAGCTGCACTAATCAGAGTAAAACAGAATGACAGAGCAGAACTCTGAAGCAAGACACATTCGCCATTTTGGATCATAACAAAGTTTTGAGTTGTGTGCCTGGGGGAGGTAATCAAGTTCACAAATCTCATTTTAATTTGGACACTGGAAAAAGAACAAATCCACTTACAATGATCGACTTGAACTTAAGTATATATTCATGTATCAAGAAGTCCAGTTGAGACAAGAATTTACATTCTTTTCAAATCTAGAATAAACAGACCCAGTTCAGTGGTCTTTGAAAGCAGAGTAAGTTTCAGCAGCCTCCTATAACTACAGAAATGGAATCTCATGTGCAGCTCATCAGCTGCTAGTTTTTCAGGCTTTGCAAACAGCATCTGGCTTTCCTAGAACCAAGATTAGAGCACACATTCCCAACCCAACCCAAAAGTATCAGTAAAGAACCCCCAGGCCTCCTGATTTTGGTGATCTATGCTTCTCAGATGTTCACCACTAACCAGACTAGTGACAACAAGGAGAGTTCAGCAACATCTGGAGAATCACAAGTTCCACAGTATCGGAATATCGGGCTGGAGAAGACAGAACAATACTGTGTTCCTCTACACCCGTGGTTACCAACCTTTGGTCCTCCAGGTGTTTTGGACTTCAGCTTCCACAATTCCTAACAGCATTTAAGCTGACTGGGATTTCTGGGAGTTGAAATCCAAAACACCTGGAGGACCAAAGGTTGGGAACCACTGCTCTACACTCACAGATTCTTTTTCTACAAATAGACAATGGAGTCTCCACAACCAAAGATTCCAGAAAATTTTCAAATGCCACAGATTGTCACATTTACACACAAAATGGCAGTGAGATGAATATGGACATGCTGAAACATTGTATAACATGGGATGTGATGGTCTGCTTTTTTCTTGTTTTGCATTTGTAGGAGGTTCCAGACTGCCTATGTGGAACCAGATACCCACAGTACTGTCAGGTAATCCATCCATTTTCTTGTTAATATCAGGCCAGAAGCTTTGAATTTATTACAAAGATGTTGATCAGACGGCAAAGTGGATTGCTTGTGCCCAAGGAACTTGAGCCAATTATAGTGGAGTTAATGCAAATACATTGCAATGTAAAGTGGCTTGTTCAGTCTCAGACAAGCATTACCAAGCTTCTTCCATGCTGGCTATCAAGTAATTAGATTGCAGTTTTATCAGCTGAAAACATGGTTCCACTGCTAATCACCTATAATAATTGTCTGGGGAGAAATACCAAGTAGTCACTTAAACACATGATGAACTATAGAGAGGAGTCAATAAATATAATGTGAAGTAGAAACCTTCCCCCACCCACCCAATGCCTCTATATGGAGAAGGTTGCTATATCACTTGCAATGACATGAATGCAGCAAAATATTCTGTCTTCATAATCATTGTTGGAGAAAAATATATCATGCTTTAAGCTGTAAACTGTTTTTCATGTTTGCTTTAGAGTTTTCTAACTATATGTTGCAATAGAAAAAAGTTTAGCTATTTCTCAATAATGTATACCTTAAAGGCACAAGATCCCATCTGATTTTGGAAGCTAAGTAGAACCAGTCCTGGTTGGTACTTGGATGGAAAACTGCCAATGAATACCAGCTGCTTGTAGGCTATACCTGTATTTACTCAAGTAGAATACACCACTGAATGTAACACAACCCCCAATTTTGCACATTACAGAAAAAACAGATTTGCCCTCAAATGTAATGTGCCCAAAAGCTTAGTCATAGCATGTCAAGTAGGCAGCATGATTGAGGCCATTTGGGAAGCCACAGCCTTTTATCAGGTCAATGCTGGCGAACTTGCCAACCTTGAACAATTCCCAACTTCCCTCATGTACGAGGCCTTGAAAACTTGGGGGAAGGTTTTGAAGGGCTTGTGAATGAGGCTTGTTGAGCACCACATGTAATTGGGAAGGGGGGGGGGGCAGGCAAAGACAATGAGGGCTACCCAGAAGATAGAATCCACAGCTAAGCAGCAGGAATTATTGGGTCATCAGCCAGGTGTTCCTCCTCCTTTTCTGAGCACCACAGAGTCCTGAAGTTGTTTCCACCACTTGGAACAGTCTCTTTGCACCCCCCCCCCGCCTCCCCACCTCCCAATCTCTGGGCCTTTTCATGCAGGTGGAGTTATGTGCACAATTCTAACATGTCACCAAATCGAATAACATCTCACTTTTGGCAATGTAATTTAACCAAAAAAGGTGAGTGTTGAAGACTCGAGTAAATATGGTATTTTAGAGGAAGGAATGGGAAGAATCACATCTATGTATTCCTTGCCTATGGAAACCCTGTGAAATACATGGGTTATCCATAGGTTGACCAATGATTTGAAGGTGCATACATGCACATAAACACAAAAAAAAATGAGAAGAAGCAACTTTATACCATACTATATAGGATCACAAACAATTGCATCATTCTTTGGAATGATATAAATATTCTTTTACAGGACTTTCTTCTGTTAACCTGACATCCCAGCTAACTGTAAGCAGGTACTTGGGCACCTCTTCTCATATGAAATGTAACACTCAGCTTTAAAGGTCCTTCACTCAATGCAATGAAACCTTCTCAATATGTGGCTCTTGAGAATTGAACTTCAATTCCCACCATCCTTCAGCACTGTATATACCAGGCATGGGCAACCTTGGGCCCTCCAGGTGTCTTGGACTTCAACCCCCACAATTCCTTACAGTCAGTAGGCTGTTTGGAATTGTGGGAGTTGGGAAACCAAAACACCTGGAGGACTAAAATTTGCCCATGCCTGGTTTATAATGTCGAGTGGTTCCAATCCTATCTGAAGGGTCATAAATCACTCATCATTATCCTATTCTCCCATGTTCTCTACATTTAGGAGGTTTACTTCTAGCTGATGCATAATCATACTAGCTGAATCAGTTAACAATTTTCATAGGCTGTATCATGAGGACTATTGCACATGAAAGATTATTTCTGCCTTTCATAGGACTGACATTCAAAAAGGCAGTAGTAAAAACCTTTAGTCTGTAGTACAAAGAAATAAAGATATTGTGCGCATCCAGGAAAACCTGAGTGTTCATCTGGCATTAATCTACAAACAACCTTCTTATGTAAAGTTTATACCACTGATGTCTCCAATTTCCAATTTTAGGAACTAAAGAAGAGAAGAGAGCAGCAGAGATGGGAGAGTGACCTATACTATAGTGTATATTTAGATAAAAATTTAAGAGGATTTTATGTAGTAGAGGATTATCTTCTACAAAGAGCTACAAAGTTTGATTCCGAAATGTTGTTTTCAAGCCGTTGACGATTCTCTACACTTAAAGAAAATGATTTTGTCAGTAAAGCACTGACAAAAATATTGCTCCTATGTAAATATATGCAAAATTGTGTTTTAAGTAAAACCGGAAGAGCACATGCCCTATCATAGACCAGCGCTTCCTTCCTCCACCATAACCTCTACAGTACAACCTCAATATCTGTGGAAACAGAACCTACAACTCCATTTACTTCACTTACAGGTTTGTAGGTCTCTATCACTTTCTAGGTTCTCCAGTATGATTACGCATCAGCTAGAAGCCTTTCATTTCAAAAACTCTCTTTTATCTTGTTTCATATTTCCATGGTAAATTCAGGAATGTGTCCCACAGGATATGACCATCACACTGTATACATTGGAGCCTCTGGTGGCGCAATGGGTTAAACCCTTGTGCCAGCAGGACTGCTGACCAAAAGATCCATGGTTCAAATTGGGGGAGCAGAGGGAGCTCCCTTCTGTCAGTTCTAGCTTCTCATGTGGGGACATGAGAGAAGCCTCCCACAGGATGGTAAAACATCCGAGTGTCCCCTGGGCAATGTCCTTGCAGTCAGCCAGTTTTCTTACACCAGAAGTGACTTGCAGTTTCTCAAGTCTCTTCTGACACACAAAAACTGTACACATAACATTGATAACTGAAGCAAAGATACATCTGAAAAACCTTTTCAGAATGTGCCGCTATTCTCTAATGAGCCCTTCAAAATATTTTTATCTGTGCCAATTTAACCATTGCTTCCATACTTTTTAAAGGCCTTTTTTCGGGGGGGGGGGGTAGTCTTTACATCCAATGCCTGGGCTTATACATATGAAATATGATGTCAAGTGATATTTGTTGACAAAACAAAGAGGCCTCACCCTTGCCTGGCCATCGTGTTGTGTGCCTTTGGGAATCCCTGAAGGATATCCCAGATTTGGCCATAGAACCACAAACACAATAATTTTGGCACAATAGTGTAAATAGTTTTCAGTTCTCTGGGTACAAACATAAAAATGAA